ATCTTGGCACAAGAGAAGCGAGCACTCTGTAAAGCCAGAGCTGCAAATGCTGAAGCAATAGTGTCCACATTTCTCTGTTCAGTATGTGGCAGAACATTCCGTGCTAACATCGGTCTCATCAGCCATCTACGGACACACCGCTGATGGCCCATAATCCATAAGATGTCAAGGTCTTCATCGAAATCGATGGACGAACAACCAACCAACCAACCATACTCAAAGTTGATTTCCAACGCTCTAATTTGACAACAATTTTTTTAAAAAAAGAAATATAAAAATGTCATAGAAGCCATCCTGCTAGATAGCAAATTAAAGAATATAATAAAGCATTCTGCTTTCAGAGATGAATTTAGAAATAAAAGGGAGTCTGGCAGAAAGCTAGAGGGGTATCCACCAGGTGTGGTCAAACAAGTCAGGATGGCTGTTGCAATAGCGTGATCGAAGCTGCACCTGTTTATGAGCTTCAATTGCACGTTGTGGCTGTTGTCTTGGATTTTTTAACCACATCTTGCGAGACTCCTGCAGATTAGTCTTTTTGGAATGCCTATTCCCTAGTGTAGATGCAGCTGAAAAGGTCATGTTCTTGTAAGACATACTGTAGAAGGAAAGCAGCAGGATTGCCTGGATCAGCGGTTCCCAACCTTTTCTATACCCCACACCCCTAGAACTCTTCTGATATATTCTCATACCCCTTACAAAAGTTCAAAATAACGGCAACAAATTATGTATATAATTTTGAAAACCCAAGTTTTTGCACCCCCTGGAATATCGTCTCACATGCCCGGTTGGGAACCCCTGGCCTAGATGCTGAACAAATTATTGCCTGTATTGGTCAGAACCAAAATGACCTTGAAGAGCAAGCGAAAGAGCCACTACCAAAACTATGGTTAGATAAAAGAAATCAGAACTGTATCTGAGAAAGCATCTCAAATAAGACCCTCCCTCATTATCACCAAAAATAAAGGGAGGGAACAGAGGGAAGCACATTCAAACTTGCAAGATTCTATCCTTCTATGATAAAAGCACTATTGGCTTGCATGACTTTAGTTTCCTAGTCTAGTCTAACTTGGTCAAGTCATAAAGTGGGTGGCTTCCCAATTGTTAGCAATCAATATATAAGCCATGGATGCAACCCAGTGTAGGTTGCTGAGTGGATGCACAATTTATATGCCTGCAAGCCACCTCCAGGTGCCTCTTTGCTATATGACTCAAGAGGAAGCACAATTTGGTTTTCTTTACCCATTCATGTTTGCTTGGAGAAAAGAGGCAGCTTTCTCCAATGTAAGTTTTCTTGCAGGGCTAGAAAACTATAGGCATATCCTGAATGAAACATTAAATCAATAATAATGGGTAATGAAGCAAATGAGGAATAACTATACAGATGACGTCTGTTGATAATATGGCTGTACCATGAATGTATTGATGTAGGAAGCTGTCCATCTTTACTAGAAGACTGTCTTAACAGTACTGCATCTTTTGCCTAAGAGACAGGATTACTAGAGTTTAGCATCATGTCTACAGAAACTCATCTTGCATGTCATAACACAGATAGTCTCATAATATTTATTCCTGGTTCTCCAATTTAGAAGTTACTAGATATAATAGAAGAATTGAAAAATAAGTTGATAGATGAAAAGAAAGCGAAACTGTACATGGAGCTAAAAATTCGCGAAGAAGTTACTCAAGAATGTCTTCAGTACTTCAATGCAAAGGAGAGTGACCTCAAGTAAGTCTTTTGTTTTTTGTGCCACTAGGGAGTTATAGAATGTTTTCTAGTATACAACAAAGGTGTGCGCATATTGTTTCAGAGTTTGTCAAAATCAGGCTGCTTAAATCAGGTAGAAAATGACTTAACAATGGTGAAGCTATTTCTTGTGAATGTTTAGATAAAACAAAGATTGGAAAAGTTTTAGATACTATTCAAAGGTTGTTAAGTTGCCACTTAAAGGTTGTTCACTTATATATTACTGATAGGTAGCATTTTCATTCACCCGCAAAGCAACCTATTTCCAGATAACCTCGTACGGTCCGGTTCCCCCCTCTCTCTTCCCTCCCCTCTTCTGGCCAGGCCACAAAGGTTGGGGACCGCTGCTCTAGTCTAGTCTATTTATGGAGAAATAGGAAGTTTATAAGGAAGACCTTTTAGGATTTGGTTTGCCTGTATGAGATATACTGCATACTAGATGGAGTAACACTTGGAAGCTCTGTTCATCAATTAAACTCCTGTGTTTACATAAATTAAAGGTATAGTGGGATTTTCCCATTCCCAATAAGTGAACGGCCAGTTTTCCTCCTACATTTCTTCCTGGTTCATCATGATAATAAAGTTACTGTGCATAATAAGGAGCTTGCATATGAAGTTCAATTTCTCATATCCAATACTCTTATCTCTTCCAGCTAAAGTGTTTTTAAAAGAATAAGTTGAAGGGGATGGATTGGTATGATTTGTTTCCAAGAAGAATATGAATTATTTCTCTTTCTGATATATTTAGGAAGATTTTTAGCTATAAAGAAGAAATAATGGAGACTACTTGTGAAGAGCGGATGAGCATTTACAAGGAGCTGGTGAAGGACTGTATTGCACTCCCGGATGGCAAAGCAGGAGCAGAAGAGACTCTAAAAGAGGATGAAAAAGTGGTAAGTTTTGTTCCAGCAAATGTAAGCAATTTTGTTACAGGAAGTCCTCAGCTAACAAGCACCTGTTCAGAGATTATTCAGAATTAAGACAGCACTGAACAAGGAGACTTACAGTGGGTCCTTGAGGTTGCAGCATCCCCATGGTTAAATGATTATGATTTTGGCAAACTGGCTCACAATTGTGAGACATGGCTTTTTCAACAAGCGGGTCTGGCCTAGGGAGAATTTTTAAATAGGGACAATTTTAATTTAAATTTTAATTAATTATACAGCGAAAAAAATATTTGGTTTTTAACAGGTTTTTATGGGGGGATGATGTTTTATGTGTTTTAATATGCTGTAAGCCGCCCTGAGTCCTATAGGGAGAAGGGCGGCATATAAATCCATGTTAAATAAAATAAATAAATAAAAATGTGATCTCCATTTGAAACCTTCCTTTCGGGGTTCTGACAAGCAAGGCCCTTGGGAAAGCCAGCAGGGAAGGTTGCCAGTGATGATCACGTGACATCGTGTGTAAGAACTACACAGGATTCGCTTAACTGCAGCAACTGGAATGGCTGTTGTAAGTTGGCATGGTCACGTGAGATGAGGCTTTACAACCACATCACTTAGTGACGAAGCTGCCAACCTCAATGAATGTACTTAATGGAGGATTTCCTGTATTTTATCTCTTCCTGCTAGGTCAGCATATCAGCTTTAAGATATGGCCAGTGAATCTGCCATCTTTGGCTTATTGTCAGTGAGCAATGCTTGAGCAAGCCATGGTTTAATTTGATTTTTGAATGCAGGCTTCCTCTTTCTTTCTTTCTTTCTTTCTTTCTTTCTTTCTTTCTTTCTTTCTTTCTTTCTTTCTTTCTTTCTTTCTTTCTTTCTTTCTTTCTTTCTTTCTTTCTTTCTTTCTTTCTTTCTTTCTCCCCTTCCTTCCTTCCCTCCCCAGATAGATAGGGAGTTTTTCAATAATACTGTTAACTTGTGCTTCCGAGACTTTCAACGTAGTTGCATGTAGCCCTCCTGTTTTCCTCTCCCTTTTAAATGTCCTGTTTTTCTGCAACAAGGGAGGAGGTGAAGATGGAGAACCTGGAAGCGTGGCTGATCTTCCCAGTATGGTGGGGTCACTGCAACAGAATGTTGCTGATATTAAACAACAGGCAGAAATGGCATTTGGCATGCTTGATGCTTTGGAAGAACCTCAACTGACTATTGAGCGACTTGAAAAGCAACTGACTGACGTTATAGCAGAGTTAACCCAAGCTCGTGAGGATCTCTTGAGCCAGAATAAAGGTACATAAAGAAAGAAGAGAAAGAATAAAATGATTGGCTGCAGTCTGAAGGAACATGCTGCCAGTTTCACCTGCCTGGAATGTGTGTGTGGAGAGAGGGATTTCAACTTGTTTCATATTGTTATCAATTTAAAAGGGAAATGAATGTTCCTTAGAATATACTGGTAGTCCTTGACTTACAGTAGTTCATGTAGTGACCATTCAAAATTAGGACACTGAAAAAGTGACTTATGACCATGTTTCCCACTTAACGGCCCGTGCAGCATCCCCATGGTCACATGATCAAAATTCAGACACTTGGCAACTGACTCATATTTATGACGGTTGCAGGGTGCCAGGGTCAAGTGATCCCATATTGCGACCTACTGACAAGCAAAGTCAATGATGACGCCAGATTTATTCAACAACTGTGTTACTAACTTAACTGCAGTGATTCACTTAACAACTGTGGCAAGAAAGGTCGTAAAATTGGGCAAAGCTCACTCAATAACTGTCTCACTTAGCAACAGAAATTTTGGGCTCAATTGTGGTCGTACGTTGAGGACTATCTGTACGATCCAGGCTTGGAAATGAATTTGGTTCCAGGTCCAGAGGAACTCTAAATAAAAGCATTCTATAAATTAGTATGCAAATTATGTCTGTTTCTTCATTGTTTGAAAATAAAAACCAGTGATGAATATTAAAGATATGATAAACATAAGCACTATTATAAATATATCTTTTGAGTCTAATTAAAAAACAGAAAATAGATTTTTAATTACTGGGGAGCCTAGCAGTGTGGCAGGATATGCTTTGCCATTTGACCAATTAGTAATTTTACTCTTAAGGCTGGGTTTATAAAGAAGGCATAAAAATGAATGCTTGTTTATTAATAGATTGGTTAGCTATTTCCTAATCAGTTAATTGAGCAGTACTGTATGTATGTGATGTTATGAAATTAACAAAAAACACAACAACTAAGGTATCAAGAAAGTTTATTACAAAAAGATTCCCGTATTGACACGATATATGAATCTATAATGTTAAACAGTTTTCTAAACAATCCAATAATTCTTCTTGTGGCATTTAAAAAATACTTTAAAAACTACTTATATTCCAGCAGCAGTAATGCAAGAAGATAAACTGAGTGAATCTGCTAAAGTTCTTCAGGATGCTACTGAGGTAAAGATTGTTTATTACATTCAAATCAGGAACAAATAGCCTCTTTTGTCGTAAAATCACAACAAAAGTAGATGGGTCTATGGAGAAAAGTTGGGAGAAAATAAAATCGCTTGGTTTCTTTCTCACATCTACCCACAGCATTCCCCCCTGCCATTAAAAAAAAACAACTCAGAAAAAAGTCATTGAAAAAATAAAAATATTTACAGTTGTTAAAAGGTACTTTGTCAGTGAATATTGGCATGCAGAGAAATAGACTTTCAAATTGAGGAGGAAACTCCACTCACATCAGGGCTTACTGGGATCATCTGCAGCTCGTGGGTTGTCTTCTCCTGCAGAAGATTTGGGACAACCTTCTGCAACCTCCTAAACCAGGATTTAATGAAGCCAGCACAACCCAGCTTGAGACTATATTTTGTTGTGAATTGCCAACTGTGTGCAGACACATCTCTTCTCAGGCTTCTTTTTCTTTTCAAGAAAATGGCTCTACAGAATAAACACATTCAGGAGCTGAGTCAAGCTGTGCAGCAAAAGGACAAAGAAATAAGTCAGCTACAAGCTCTGGTTGGTCACTTGGAAGCTTCTGTAAAAGATTCTGTGAGTATTTAATTTGTCTCCCTGATCACTCAAAGGTAGCTGTCCTGTGTTAATGCCAAGGTCAAGGTTTGCTAAGTTTTAGAGACAATTCAAAAGTCAATTAGAATTGAGCTCCAAAAACAACCTTTGGAATTTTTTTTTAAAAAAAAATCAGCCTCTGTGTTTACAATCTATTAAGGCAAAGACTTTTGAAGATAGTGTATGATAAAGCAAAGAAGGCCTGCTGCTTAATTTCTTGAAAGATATGCAACTTGATGTGGCCAAATATGTTCCTTTACTTCTTGGTTTCCTACTCTGTGGTTTTTTCCCCCCTGTAACGAAATGTAATTACACGGAGAAAAGTAATGTTTGACTTGCTGTTGGACAGAAGAAAAAATGTCTGCTGTCCTTGAGGCAGTCTACACATTCCATCCTAGCTCTTGGGATGATGCACAGTTGGCTTAAGTTTGAAGATGCCAGCTTCATTCTTTGTAGATAATCTAATTCAGTGAGATCAAAGATCGCTCTGACCAAATAGCCTTTTTTCCTACACTATAAAATCACTTACAAAATGAAACAAAGCCTCTTCAGTTCCAACCTCTTTGGGTGATACCTTGATCATTGCCATTGTATCATAAGCAGAAACAATACTTTATGCACCTTCTCACAGTTTAACCTTAAGGAATGCCTTAATAGTGGTCATGTGATTGGAAGCTTGCATGCACCCTTATGATAAATCCTCCTTTGGGGAAAATGTCAAAAGTAAAGAGACTTTCTTCTCCAGTGACTCAAGGAGCTACACCATTAGTAGTGTACATCATAATATGGAGTCATCCATAGGCATGTCAAAGAAGAATTAGACTAAATATGATCTGTGAAAGAGGGAAATCACAACTCCCTCCAGTATTGGGCCCAAACCAAATGGACACTTCACAGTTAGGATATCATCATGAGATTAGAAGATGAGCCTTCCAGATCAGAAAGTATTCAAAAAGGCACTGAGGAAGAGCAGAGACCAAGTATGAATAGCAGTGACATTTATGTTATAGCTGGAGCAATGTTGAAACAACATTTGTCAAATAACATGGTGATAGCAAAAGGAAAGATTGATGCTGTAAAGATACTGCTCTGACCCAGAGTTAAAACGCCTTATAAATCGGATCAGATAGATAAACTCAATAGGAATAATTTCATAACAGAAACATATTTAATAATAATAATAATAATAATAATAATAATAATAATGATAAAGTTGGAAGGGACCCCCAGAGGTCATCTAGTCCAACCCCCTGCTCAGGCAGGAAACCCTATACCATTTCGGACAAATGGCTGTCCAGTTTCTTCTTAAAAACTTCCAGTGTTGGCGCATTCACCGCTTCTGGAGGCAGGTTGTTCCACTGGATAATTGTTCTCACTGTCAGGAAGTTTCTCCTTAGTTCTAGGTTGCTTCCCTCCTTGGTTAGTTTCCACCCGTTGCTTCTTGTCCTGCCTTCAGGGGCTTTGGAGAATAGCTTGACTCCCTCTTCTTTGGGGCAGCCCCTGAGATATTGGAAGACTGCTATCATGTTCTCTTTCTGGTCCTCCCAACAGCTTCTCTTTGGCCCTTTTAATATCTAAGACTTTAGCTTTAAGTACCTACAGTGACTGCTTCCCTTTCCTAAGGGATTAGGCTTGCTGGCATCACTTTTCCTTCTTCCTAGGCATTGTTGCAAGTGACCCACAAATCTCTTCTTGGTGTTCAGCTCAAGGTCTTCCTCTTCTCCAAAGCCACCTTCTAGCCTTCTTCCTCTGCGGTCTTCAGAGTCTTCTAGCCTTCCTTTCTCTCCCCCTTCCTTCTTTTGACTTCCAGCTCTTATTCAGAGAGATTACTTGCATTTATGTTGGTTGCTTCTGGATAATACATCTCTGTTCAATCCCATAGGTGAGAAGATAATGCTTTCTCTATACCATCTTTATAGCGGAACAGGGTCATCGGGTGACATCCGATGGCCCATGCATCTCTTAGACCAGCGGTTCTCAACCTATGGGTCGCGACCCCATTTGGGGTCGATCGACCATTTCACGGGGGTCGCCAAGCAAGGCTGTCCGTCATTTTTTTCCCCTTTTCCAGCGGGTGCCTTACCTCCCTTGAGCTGGGCCAGCTGGTGGTCGGCCTGCTCCATCTCTGCTGCTTGCCAGCTATGCCTCGGCCGGCGCAGGGGGCAGAACCACGCATGCGCGGCGCTCCCGGGCAGGGAAAATCCTCGACTTACGACTGGTTGGGTAGTCCTCGACTTACGAACGGTTTAGTCCTCGACTTACGAACGGTTGGGGGTCGCGGCATTAAAAAGGTTGAGAACCACTGTCTTAGACAAAGACATTCCAATCTGGCTTCTGTCCAGGAAGTCTCCCAATGCCCTTTAGAAACTCCTCCCACTGACCCATTAACATGGGATGATTGACTAGCTAAAACTACATCACCCATAAGCCATCTCTTAAGGAGACAGCACTTAACCCAATAAATGCCAAACATTCTTACACACAGATCTACGTGCTCTAGTCAGGGTTACATAGAGTCATAAGGTCCAGAACAATACACACACACCATTGGTAAATGAAACATCAGATCCATGAGCCACAGCAGACTTGATGTCAGGGATTTTACATTGATATTCTGGGAGTCAGCAAATTGAGATGGACTTGAATGTACCACTTCACATCAAAGAAGCATCAGATTATAGACTAGGCATCATTAACAAAAAAAATGTCAAAGTTGGAGTCCTTGATACAACCTCTATAAATTATAACTGAAACTAAAGGAAACAAAGTCACTTGACCAAGAAGATATTACTTCAGCAGTATTCCCTTATCTGTGGCAGACACAAATAATTGCTTTAATGACTTAGATTTGGTAAATCAAGAGCCTGAAGAACTTTGGATTGAAATCTGTGAAATCATTTAATCATTTAAGATGAAACTAAATGAAAGGGAGGGAGGGAGGGAGGGGGCAATTGCCAGATTACTAAGAAGTTATCATACTTACTCAGTGTCTATACCTATTACTGTGACTAATATTTCATGCAGAAATAATAGTTTTGGTGACCCTACCAAAGGTAAAGTAAGGTAAAGGAGGCCCTGCAGATTTTACTCTCCTAATCATTGCTGACTCTAGTGGACAGTGCTCATCTCCATTTCAAGGCTGTTGAGCCAGCACAGTCCAAAGATATTTCCGTAGCCATGACATCAAGGAGCGCTGTTACCTACCCACCAAAGTGGTACCTATTTATCTAGTTGCATTTGCATGCTTTCGAACTGCTAGGTTGGCAGGATCTGGAGTGAGAATGGGAGCTCACCCCGTCATGCGGTGCTTAGGTCTCAAACCTGGGCTGTCTGCTTTCCCGCCAACGAGCCCAGGGTCTGAAACGCTGAGTCACCCTGCCACCCAACATAAGGAGTTAGTGAAATTAGCAGAGTATCTAAAATAAGTGATCTTGACAGACATATTGACTGGAATACTACATTCCAGTGTGTTTCAGTAGCAATGAAAAAAAATGTGATTTATTTTTTTATTGTAGGAGTCATTCAAACTAGAAATGGCAAAGCAGGTGAATTCTTAATGTTTCTGCCCTTTAAGAATTGGCTTTTTTATTTTAATACAGGAGATCGCCAATGTGACTATGAAACAGGAAAACGGCAGTGAATCCAAGGAAGAAAGTGTTGCTTCAAGAAGGAAACGATATTTAGAAAGGGATGAAGAAGGCCCCCCTTCAAAGCAAGGTATCACTTCCTCTTCTGCATATACCGAAAGGCTGCTGAGGTCAAAAATTACTTGTATATCAAAATGAAAAGTTTTAAGTACAGAATTAATGTTGAGAACCAGAAGACGGCTGTCACATCAGATGTGCTACTTGCATGAACTCTTATTACTTTTATTTTATAAAAATCAAAAATAAATATTTTTAAATGGAACATCTCCTTTTCCATGTAGTACGTGCGTTTCTCAGCAAATAGATGTCGTGAACTATCTTCTGTTTTGTGAACCTGCTGAGTCTGCTCAAGTGTGTGTCTCTCTGTATGTATGCGTATAATTTTAATTCTCCTAAATCTACTAGTCAATGGAAATTCTAAGATCCTATCTTTGTGAGTCTACTAAAAATGTTATGCTTCCTTTAGTAAGAATGCTGGCTTGCTCTGCAAAATCCTGCATATTTTCCATCTGAATTATTCTTCCCATTTTTTTACAGTCAGCAATTTACATGGTAGTTAATATTTTTGGTTTGGGATTCATGCAGCAAAAAACCATTGTTAGAGAATCTTTAAAGGTCACCAGAATAAAACCTATTACTCTGTAGTACATGCCAAGTATATGAATACATTAATCTCTGCCTCATTTATCTGGATCAGTGCTTCTCAACTTTAGCAACTATAAGTTGTATGGATTTTAAGTCCTAAAATCTCTAGCTATTACTGGCTAGGGAATTGAAGTTCACACATCTTGAATTTGTCACAGTTGAAAATCAAGACTATCATGTAGATAAGCTTGTACATAGAACATCAAAAATCCTAAAGTAAGATCTGCATGGATAGAAATTAAAATTAAGCATTTCTTCACAAATGTGCAAAGTATTCTGTCCTGTTTTTTCCACTTATGCCAGTTTTCAAAGCTACAAACAAATAAAAATAAATTTTCAATGCAACATTATATCTGCTTTTCTGTTTGTTTCTTTTCCCCTTATTTTTTTTCTTAATTTTCCAACTAGAGAAAACCTCTGTCCCATGCCTTCAACATAGAAATATTCAAATATGTTCCCCCCATGAGGTTTAAAATGCTAAATTGGTCCTTACAATAAAAAGATGAAATTTACTGTTGCACTTTTTGATAAATTAAAAATAAATCTCCCCCTCTTTTTAGTCCTTTCTCTTTCCCATATATCAGATGTCTGGGATAAAAGAAGGAAGTCATGTATGTATAGCTAAATATCTGATCATGTGTTGTACTGTGGCATCTCTGGTGCTGTCGGAGCTTGGTTGTTTTCTTGCATACGTTTCAATACCAAACTAGGTAACATCATCAGTGCTAGTAGGGAGTGGCAGGTGAGCACCAGGTGTATGCGCGCATCCCCACTTGTGTGAGCAGCAAGTAAGCACATGCCTGAACGCTCCATTTGCATGTGTGCCTGCTGTTCACACAAATGGAACTGCGATCTCGAGTATTTGCTGCCACTCACGTGGAACCATCCCTCTCCCTCCCCACTCCCCACCGATCCACAAAGCCAGAAAGGTTTGAGGGACTCTGTTGTACAGTGGGACACTTCTTCTGGATCAGTATGAAGTTTGTTGGAATCCTGCAGCTGAGGTAGCTTTCTACTACTATATATTTTCATGCCTCAGTAAAATTACATTCCACAAATGCTTATATTCCAATATCTATGTGTTTTATAGTATTAGCTATTGTCCTTTAATGAGTTTTTTTTCTTTTGGCCTGTTAGTAAGCATGACGTATCATTTGGTACATAGAAATATGGATCTTTTGAAAGCACAATGGTTATGGGAAAAGACTTTGTCCCTTCTATTTTGTCATTGAATACAATCTATGGTTTGTGTGTGTATGTATGTATGCATGTATGTATGTATGTATGTATGCCTATGTAAGTTTTTCTGCATCATTCCTCTCTTCAGATGTGTGCTAAATACCATTTGGCTACATCTGGACTAGCAATTTCAGGTTTCAATTATCAGTGACTACTTCAGACTTTAAGTAGAGTGCCTAACCACATTATTCTCCTTGACTAGGAAGAATTTTTTTGGGTGGGTCAACATTACACTGCTATATAAAAGCACCCTATACCAGTGATGGCAAACCTTTTAGAGACCCAGTGCCCAAACTTCAACCCAAAACCCACTTATCACCGGATGCCGGGTGGCCATGGCCGCGGTGGTCATGGCAGACTGGGTGGACGGGGCTAGGGCGGCAGGGGCCAGTTCCCTCGCCATCTTCGGGGCATGGCACGTGTGCCCACAGAGAAGGCTCTGAGTGCCACCTCTGGCATGCGTGCCATAGGTTCGCCACTACTGCCCTATACTCCTTTTTGCAACTGATGCTATTAATGCCTGATCTGTAGATCAAGTTGCTAATTTTTTGCAGCTAAAGTGTCAACGTTGCTAACATTGGATATTCTTGCTTTGACAATGATGGAGATGCAGCCTTTTTCTTTCTGTTGTTTTACTTTTAGAGTTAGATGATCATGGGGGGAGGGGAAGGAATGCGATGGGAATTAGTTAGAACATACAATATCATAACAAGAGCTGATAAAGAATGGCAGGAGAGGAAATTGGGCAGGAAGCCAGCATTTCGAACTAATTGGAGAATGTGATTTATGACTGTTAGTTGTAGGAGGGAATTATGCTTTGATCTAAGGGAGGGGAAGTCACATTTTGGCTTCAACTATGTACGTACCAAAGCTATGCTGCTCGATTAAAGATTCTTTAAGGTAAACAATGCCTCAAGGTTCTTTGAAGAGTTTCATCTTTTGGAACCATGACATTAAGCCAAAACCTTCTAGGGGTCCTGAGACCCAGTCGCTGTCCCCAAACTTGAGGGTAGCTGACAACGATTCAGGAGGAGATTTCATCATGGAGAAAAAAAAATTGCTTGAAGCCGGCAAGCCGGCAGCAGCTGCTACCCCGGGGAGGGGGGAGCGACAGCAAACAAGTAGAAGGAGGAAGAACTTTTGCAGGACTCCCAGCTGGAGGCAAAACCCAAGCAGCTAGGAGAACTGATCTGGTCGTCAGATGGGAACCAGCCCAGCGGAGACTCCAGATGCCTCGAGACTGCCTTGCTATCCACAAAGACTTCAAAAGCAGACCGGCGGAGAACTATCAGGACGTCTGCCACTGAGGAATGCCTGTCTGCAGCTTGTAGCCAGCCAGTGGAGAGATTTGAAGGGATAGGACAGAGAAGCAGAAATCAACTCCTGCCGAGAGAAGCATCCAGCCCCTCCTTTGCAGATCAGACAGCCTTCCAGCCCCTGGAATCCCCTACCAGGGTCTCCAACCCCACAGATTGAGAGAACCCCATTCTGAGGCCCCTGCAGCAGTGGGGAGTTTGGCAGCCCCTGCAGGTGACCTCTGAGCTTGCAGCTTGGGGTGGTGCAGAAGCCAGGAGATCAGCAGCTGGTGGGAGGACTACCACAGCAAGGAGGCTGGTCACCATCCACTAATATACAGCAACCACTGAGGGGCCTGCAGATGATGGAGTTCCAACAACAACCCCCTCTGAGGCTGCAGGGGGCATACAGCAGTTGAGGATGCCACAGCTCCCAGCAGACCAACAGCAGGGGGAATGACAACAGACCCCAAATGTGCCACCCCTGGGAATGCAGCAGCCAATGATTGCTCCACCTTTCAGAGCAACCTTCGATGGGGTCCCAGAGAAACTGATTTTTTTTCTCAACCAAGTGCGCTCTCATTTGAACTGCTGGGCCTATCTCTACCTGGACCCAGCCACTATGGTCAATGTGATTGTGTCCGGCTTAGAGGGAGAGGCATCCGAATGGCTGGACAACTTATCTAACGAGCAAGCCCCGAATTGGAGGAGCCCCACCTCTTACTCCTAGGACTGAGAGAAAGATTTGAAGACCCATCCATTGCCCTCAAAGCAGAAGAACAAATCCATAAAATAAAACAAGCTGGCAGGCCTGCCCTGGAGTACGTACGAGAGTTTCGCAAGTTAGCTGGTCGAATAGAGAGGTGGCCTGAGCAGTCCATAGTCCATCTCTTCAGGGAAGGGTTAGATGATCACCTCTCTCAGGCATGCATCTATCGAGCAGTACCTGATCAGCTGCAAGAATGGTACCAGGCAGTGGTAAGACTAGACATTCAGCTCGCCTGCTATAAGAAGCCTCCCCCACCTGAAGCCGAGACAAAGCCAGAGCAACCCAAACGGCATCCCCCCGAAAATGTCCAATTGCTGCGACTGCTGAAGGACCCAGGCCACCTGCAGGCCCGCCAATCAAGTGCTTCCAATGCGGACAGCAGGGACATTGAGCAGCGAATTGCCTGGTCCCATACCCCCAACAGCAGAGTAGACCAGGACCAGCAGCGAGAAAGAAACCTGCCCAACAGCCAACGAGAGAGAAATCCAACTGGATCACAGGAACTGGTTGCCCAAGTCACATCCCCTACGCAGGAGGACGCCAGTACTAAGGCTGGATCCACCCCTGCTCTACTCTCTTTCGACAGCGACGACGAAGGAGAGGACGACCTGATGATGAGTCGACACGTCCCATCTTTCTCGCTGCCAGCCAAACTCATAATCCCTAAGTCGGGAGCACAGGCAAACTTAAAAGTGCTAGTCGATTCCGGATGCTCCCGGTGCATCATTAGCTTGCCATTTGCCATGAAAATGGGCATACGAGCAAAGCTGCTCTCTAAACCTGTGAGGTTTGAGCAAGCCGATGGCTCCCTGATGGGAGGGACTTTTAGTCACTCAATTAACTGAGCCCCTACGCTTAGAAATAGGAGAGCACTGGGAGTTCATTTGTTTCCTGGTGGCTCCAAAAATGACTGAGGCTGTGATTCTAGGATTAGCTTGGTTGGACAAATGGAAGCCATTTATCTGGTGGGAGGAGGGAATGAGAACTGTGATGCTACCTATAGGGCTCAAGCCCCCTATTGATTCAACAGACGTTACAGGAAACTTTAGCCCACCCAACGAGCGAGCGCACATGGCTTCCTCACCGCCACCAGGCGAGCCACTCATCCCCAGCGAGTATCGGGACCTAGCGGAGGCATTTAGTGAGAAGGAATGCGACACCCTGCCTCCCCACTGACCCAATGATTGTTCCATTGAACTGTTGCCGGGAGCCAAACTCCCACGACCGAGAATATATGCCATGTCCCCCCTCGAAATGGAGAGATGCAGCGATACGTGGACAAAAATCTAGAGTGAGTTCATTGAACGGGTCAAGTCTACTGTGGGAGCCCCTGTGTTGTTTAAAGAAAAAAAAGATGGGTCTCTTCATCTCTGCATAGAATATAAGGGTCTCAATGTTGTGAGTGTGGAAAATAAATACCCCCTCCCCCTCTTGAAGGACTTACTAACCCACCTGGCTAAGGGGAGCGCCTTCACTAAATTAGACCTGAGAGAGTCATATTACCGGGTGAGAATAAAGGAGGGAGACGAGTAGAAAACTGCCTTCAACTGCCCCATGGGGAGCTATTTGTTCAAAGACATACCATTTGGACTACAAGGGGCCCCAGCCATATTCATGCAGTTGATTAATGAAGTCCTGCATGCTCACTTATACAAAGAGGTTCTGGTGTATCTTGATGACATCTTGATATACAGCATGAATATGACTGATCATATAAAGTTGGTGAGAAAAGTGTTAAAGAAACTATTGAATGCCAAGCTTTATGTCAAACTGTCAAAATGTGAATTTCACCAGACCCGATTAGATTATCTTGGCTATAGAATTTTCAATGAGGGCATTGAAATGGACCCAGCCAAAGGGAAAGCTGTAATTGAATGGCAGCCCCAAAGACTCGCAAACAGCTCCAGAGCTTCCTAGGCTTTGCCAACTTCTACTGTCAATTCATCCCCTCTTTTGCTGAGATTGCCCTACCCCTTACAGAACTATTCAAAACAGGCAAAGGAGGAGGGAAACTGCGACCGGGCCAACCACTAGCATGGACTATGGGCTGTCAAACCACTTTTGAAAATCTAAAAAGACTATTTGCTGTTGAACCGGTCCTAAAGCACCCCTTCCCAAGGGAGCCGTTTGTAATTCAAGCCGACGCCAGCGACGTAGCTGTAGGAGCTGTATTACTGCAAAAGAACCAAAGTGGGGCCTTGCAACCCTGCTCCTACAGTTTGAAAAAATTTACTGAGAGTGAAAGGAGGTGGGCAGTCTGGGAAAAGGAGGCCTTTGCAATCAGATGGGCTTTATTAAACTGGAGACACTATCTGGAAGGGAGCAAGGTGCCTTTCGAAGTATGGACAGATCACAAAAATCTAGAAGCACTGAAAACTCCCCACAAATTGTCCCCGAAACAGGTGCGCTGGGCACAATACTTTAATTGTTTTAACTTCACTCTAAAATACATTCCGGGAGAGAAAAACTTCCTAGCTGATGCTCTATCTAGACTGCCTGAGTAGAAAAGCCAGCACGAAGAGATCAATGAGGTAATTATCTCCAATCCACAAACGGCTGCTCATCTCATGCCTCGCAGGGCCCCTAATCCTGATGACCCTGGGGCAAAGAAAATAAAACAAGAGCTCCTCACTGATCAATGGTTCATGGACAATCAAACCTCCCTAACATGCAGGGATGGTTTGGCTTGGAAGGGGGGGAAATTGTACTTGCCAGAAGCCATCTGTCTTAACGCTCTCAAACACAGCCATGACGTAAAACAGGCTGGACACTTTGGATATTTAAAAACTCTACATCTCATCCGCCGGCAGTTCTTGTGGCCGGGGTTAAAACGGGATGTGGAAAATTATGTCAGGAGTTGTACTGTATGTGACACCATGAAAAGAATTCCAGGGAAACCCCCTGGGTTATTGCAGCTGGTGGCAGACCCTTCTCAACCATGGGAAGAAATCGCTATGGACTTTATAGTAGACTCCCTGAAAGTAGAGGAAATACAGCCATCTGGACTGTGATAGACCTATTTTCAAAGCAGGCTCACTTCATCACCTGCAAAGGACTCCCGTCTGCCCAACGACTGACTAAACAGTTCTTGAAACACATCTACCGGCTGCATGGAGCCCCTAAACAAATAATTTTGGACAGGGGGGTGCAGTTCACAGCTAGGTTTTGGCGGAGCTTTCTTAAACTAATTGGATCATCTCAAGGTCTATCATCTGCTTTTCACCCATCTACTAATGGGGCCGCGGAAGCTGCTAACAAAATGGTGGAGCAATATCTCAGATGTTTTATTTCCTACCAACAAGCCAACTGGACCGACCTTCTCCCTTTTGCAGAGGTGGCTTACAACAACCCTGTTCACAGCAGCACTGGCTTCACGCCTTTCAGAGTAGCTACAGGAAAAGAGTTCAGCCCAATACCTGAATACCCTCAAGCACCCTCAGCTTCTCAGACACTTGATCAATGGGTGAGAGAGTGGGAAGAGGTCTGGAAAGCCACGAAAGCTGCTTTAAAAAAGACTTCCGAGATTTATAAAAAGCAGGCAGACAGAAAGAGAGCCCCTCAAATAACGTTCCGAGTTGGAGAAAAGGTCTATCTGTCAACCAAATATTTACGCCTTAAATTACCCAGTAAGAAATTAGGACCAACATTTTTGGGGCCTTTCCCCATCGTAAGAATCATCAACCCAGTCACAGTAGAATTAAAACTCCCTAGGCTTTTAGGGAGAATTCACCCTGTCTTCCACTGCAGCTTGTTGAAACCTTTGCGAGAATCCACTTTAAGACCTCCCCCTAAGAAGGCACCTGGACTCCTCGTAATGGCAGGTCAAACTCACTATGAAGTAAAGCATATTCTTGATTCTAGAATTTTTAAAGGGAAATTGCAGTACCTAGTACAATGGAAGGGATACTTGCTATGTGAAGCCACTTGGGTGAAATCTAGCGATGTGAAAGCCAACAGACTCATCAAAAGATTCTATAAGAAACACCCTAGTAAACCGAGAGACAGCCCCTAACGTATACTTTTGTTTACGCTACAGGGGCGGATGTCAACGCTGCTAACATTGGATGTTCTTGCTTTGACAATGATGGAGATGCCTCAGCCTCAAAAAAAGTTATACATAAAAAACAATATGTTTGAAAGTATATTACTGTAAGATAACAATGCATTTATAAATCAAATAACTATATAATGTTTTATATCTTTATTATGTTCGGCTGCAGAGCAAAAAATAAGGAAAGAAAGACTTCAAGAAGCTTTATGATATCTAAACTGTATATTTATTTAGACTTCTGCCTCAAGCAGTGCTATCACTGCAGATAAGGTACTCTCCACTACAGTGTCAATTTCTTAAACAGTTGCCCAGGGATAGTTAATAAACTAGAATTGACTGGTGACTTGTAAGGCAGTCAGTTTTCTGGTTTTCCCAAATTGATCTGAAGAAAATAAGGAACTAAAAATGGTCTCTAAATACCTTTTTCAGATCCTATATTCATGTGGTAAATGTTCTAAAATGTTGTTACAAACATGTCGGCAACTGGCGGTTGAATAAAATTAATCTTTTTAATTTTTGTAGGATTCATTCACAGCAGTTCTAAAGATGCCATAGACTCAGAGAAAGCTGATGAAACAAGACCCCATCCTTCGAAGGAAAAGGGAGACATGGTGACCTTGGAGGAAAAAAATAAAATGCTAGAAGTTCAGGTGGCCTTACTTAGAGAAAAGTTAGTAAGAGAGGAAAATGAGAAGGTGGGAATTTCCAGTGAAATAGCTAGGTTGTCTCAAGCTCTTTCTTTAGAAAAGGAAAAAGCTTCTGGCTTGAATAGGGAGCTCCAGCAACAGCTGACAATTTATGAGCAGGCAACACTTGAAATAGCTATGCTGAAAGAGGGACATAAGAGTCAAGAGGAGAAAATTCAGACTCTGCTTCAAGAGATAGGTGCTGCTAGCCAAATTACCGTAGAAGAAAAATCACAGGTAAAGACACTTGAAGTAGAATTGGGTTTATTGAACAGGTTAGGGTCACATTGCCCTGTGATAGATGTTGACTTGGCAAATCAAGAAAATATGTCAAGAGATGAGCCTTTGCCAACTCGTGTTAGTGCAGATCAAAAGAGCTCATTCCATTGTAGCGTTGAAGGTATCTGGAAAATAAGCCAGCAGATCATTAATGCCTCATCTCAAAAAAGCAGTTTTATTGCAGACCTCATGCAACAGGCTGAGCAATTACAGAGGAAAACCTTGGAGGCCGATGAGGAGAATTCTCAGCTGAAGTTGAAACTGAGCGAAACTATCAGTCAGAGAGATGCATTTGCGCAGGAGAAGACATCCCTCCTTAATCAGCTAGGGGACCTGCAACAGAAAAATGCTTCTTATGTGGAAAAATATAAGGAAGAGGAGAATAGAGCACTTGTCCATTCTGAGAGGCTAAAAACAAATGAGGACTTCTTGGAAGAGTGTAGGGCAAAAGATGTCAGAATAGTTTCTTTAGAGCAAATTGTGAAAGATAAAGATTCGGCCATTTTAGTGATGAAACAATCTGTTCAGGACATTGAGGAGAAGCTTAGCATTTCAGAAGCTAAAATCAGAAAATTCATGGATCAGGAATCACTACTGAAGGTGGAAGTTGTAGAATTGAAGAGACTGAATAAAGTTGAAAGAAAGAAGAGAGAAGAGTCAAAGCAAGTCATAAAAGAGTAAGTTTTTATTATCTTCCTACCAAATAATACAGGGCACAAATATAAATATCAGATGAAATTAGACCATCTATATTCTGTTTACCTTCTTCCATTTTCCCAAGGAACCAGAAATGTTTAATCTAGGATAGTTTTTCAATCAGATGTTTTCTGGAAGTTGAACTCCCATTTCTAGGCTTCAGTAATTGAAATCATTGACTGATCTACAGATTGTCCTGGAATTACAACAGTTCATTTAGTGACCATTCAAAGTTGCAACAGCCATGAAAAAGGTGACTTATGACCGTTTTTTACAGTTACAACCTTTGCAGCATCCCCATGATCATGTGACCAAATTTCAGATGCTTGGCATGCTGGTTCATACTTATGACCGTTGCTATGTCCTGGGTTTCATGTGATCACCTTTTGTGACCTTCTCCAGCACTTGGAGATGGAGAATCCACCATTGGGTAGTAGACTGTATTCCTGACCAATCAGATCAAGTCAGCCAAAGTTGCCATGCCAGTCCTGGACCACTGATCTCCAGTCTTTGACTTGATCTTGCCCAGGACAGACGTTGCAAGTTTGGCTCTAGGCAGGTACAGTCATTGGTGGATTTTCCATTCCCTTCCCCAGTCTTAAAATTTTTTAATCAGTGCTTGCACTCAATTTGGATCTTCCTCGTCTCCCCTCTCAAATCCCTGTAGGTATTTTTAAAAGAGACTAACGGCCGTTAGTCTCAACTTTGCCTTTGCTTTGGGATTGGGCCTTGCTGCGAACCGGACGGGGCTTTATTTCCCGACAGGAGGCCAACGGCTGTTGGTCTCCAATTACCACAAGCCTAACGGAGCTTGCGGCTGCGGCTCCGTAGGCTGCTTGAATGGGTGGAGAAAAGCCCGAGGGGAGAAAGCCTTCGTTGCTCGGTTCGTCTGTTTTGTCCCGGTAGGAGGCCAACGGCTGTTGGTCTCCTGATTCACGGGCCTCACGGAGCTTGCGGCTGCGGCTCCGTGAACTCGGCCGTGTGAATCAATCCGGGGAAAAGGGGGGGGAGGCCCTTAGGACTAACTTTAAAACTGTTTTTTCCTTCACGGAACTGCGGCTGCAGCCCGTGGCCCGGTTGTTCTTGGCCTTCTTTTCCTTCTCAGTCGATCGATCGGAGGTGCGCGCGCGTGTTCAGCCTCAGCTTCGATCGGCGATTTGGCCAGCTAATCGGAGGAAAGGGAAAAAAGCTTTATTTTGCTCCGTTTTCTTCTTTTCTCGATCGCTTGTGTGCGGAGGCTCCAGGGAGCGCGGGGGGGGGGACAATTTCCCCAGCCCTGCCTGTGTCGGGGAAGCGCCATTTTGAGCCTCGTGGTCCTTGACTCGGCCGTGGTGGCCATTTTGTGACCGCAGTCTGCTCGGCTGCAATCAAATTAAGTGTTTGGTAAAACGAATTAACCTGGATAGAACAAATATCAAACATCCTCATTGTCAGACAGTTTTTCCCTTTCTCCCAATTGCGCTAATACTGGGTTACCAACTATCTGTAGCAAGGTAGGCCGCCATTTTAGACCGGCCGCCATTTTGTGCTCTTAATTTCTACATACAGAGTTAGGAACCTTCCTCTATTCTTTTTCTAAGAATCTTTAAGCTACAATTTGCTCATTGTTCTCAGATTTGGGGTCTCCTGGTTCTCTAATTTGGCTTGACTAATTGGCACTATACTGGGATTCCAGACACCCCCAATAGAGTGTCTGTCCTTATCCACAGTGTTTAAGTACGAATTCCAGGCTCCCCTTATAGTGTGTCTATCCTTATTCGTACGCAATATCTCCCTTGGATTCCAGGTGCCCCAGCAGTGTACCTGTCCTTATCCAACCGGGAATTATACCTGGGTTCCAGGCGTCCCTGTAGTCCGTCTGTCCTTACCCAGAGTCTGACATTTTCCAGATAACAGGAACCCCCTATTGTGTTTCAGGGTTATCGGAGAATGGAGGAAACTGCCCTTTCCTCAATGAGTGCTCTGCCATCCTCATCGGGTCCTCCCGGTCCGGAAGGCACTGGTAAAGCGACCCATAAGGGCCGTTCTACCACTAAACCTTCTAAAAATACTGATAAACAAGCTACCAGGAGACACCAAGCCTTGGAAAAAGAGTTCTCCAAAGCACAGAAGAGAGCTAGGCTGGAGACACCTGAGTCAGCGGGGTTGGCCTTGGAATTACTCCTTGGGGTGTCAACTTCTCTCAGGGGCGTCTGGTCGGGTGGAGATTGTTTCCCTTCTCCCGCACAGAGCAGGATGGAAGATGTTTCCCCAGCTCCCCAAGCCTCCACGTCTAGGGTAGCGCAGGGGATCCCGGAGGCCACATTTACACCTACTGCGGCAGGGCTCCGCCCTGCTGAGCCAATTCCTTTCCTTACGGAGGACCGCCTGGCATTATTGATCGAACGGGCGGTTGACCGCGCTCTTGACACCAGAGCCCGGGTCGCTAGGCCAATACCATCTTTTCCGACTCCTATTCCCCAACCGGAGGTGGGGACTCATTATGTCCCATCTTCTCCTTCTGGGTCTGTTGTCTCTGAGGATTCATACCTCAACCAACCTCCCCCTGGTCAGGAAATTCAAATGTCAGAGGAGGAAGATGTTCCTCCAGAGGTTCCTTCATTCACTGGCCTATTTAACCCTTCTTTCTTTGTCACCATACTGCATAAGGCCACATCCATGGCTCATCTGGGACAGGGATCCTCATCAACAGAGGCTCCCGCTCCACCAGATCCGGAGGCGGCTCCAGTTTACGTAGAACCTGTTGCTACACAACACCGTATTCCCTGTCCTTCCCTATTTCTGACTGCAATCAAGAAGCAGTGGTCCTCTCCGGCTTCGCTTCCCTTACCAGGTAATACGGATAAAAAACTGTATAATGTGGCCAAGGAGCTGGAGGAGGCCTTGGAAATTCCGGATGTGGACGAACCGTTGGGACCCCTGGTGTCGGCCACGGCCATTTCCGGTGAGTTTTCAGAGGCCCTTAAGGCTGAGGATCGCAAGTGCGAGTCCACCTACAAAAGAACGCACCAGGCGGCTGCCTGGGCGATCAGGACCGCAACTTCGGCCTCTTTTTTCAGCAGGGCCGCACTCACCTGGCTCCGGGAACTTCAAGCCCGGGTTCCAGCGGAGGATGTCCGCACGCACTTGGATCTCAGTAAGATGGTGGCAGCCACTGAATATGCGTCGGACGCATCTTTGCAGGCTGCTAGGTTTTCTTCCAGGGCTATGGCGTCCAGCATCACTGGAAGACGTATGCTCTGGCTGAAGAATTGGCAAGCGGATGCTAAGTCCAAATGGAAATTGGCAGCGGCTCCCTATCAGGGTTCTAAGTTATTTGGGGATTCTCTGAATCCTTACTTAACGGAGAACAAGGACAAACGCAAGGTCCTTAAAGACCTGCTCAAAAGACAAAACAAGAGGGCTAGTTTTTTTCAACGGAAACAGTCCTTTCGTGGGGGACCAAGATACACTTATTCCCAGCCTTTTCGTTCTTTCCCACCCAGACAAGACAGGCAGGATAGACAGCCTGACAGGCAAAATCCCGGACCCAGACAACAACCTCAGGGGAAACGGCCCTTTCGAGGGAACAATAGGCCTTTCCGCCGTTCCAGGTGATTCTTCGGCGGCACCTCCCATAGGGGGCAGACTCTCTCTGCCCACCATTGGGAGGCTACCACCACGGATACGTGGGTAATCAACACTATCCGACACGGTCTACATTTGGAGTTCATCTCCTACCCTCCAAATCGGTTCCTGTCCTGTCCGTACCCCCGAAACCGCACAAAACAAAGGTTGATGGACGAGGCTATCCATCACCTGCTGCGCATAAGGGCCATAGAACCCGTACCACTGGATCAGAGAGGTCAAGGATTTTACTCCATCCTCTTTGTCGTTCCAAAAGCATCAGGGGGATGGAGGGCTATTCTAGATCTAAAGAGCTTGAATTTCCACATAGCTTATCACAAATTCAAGATGCAAACGCTCCGATCCATCTTGGGAAGCGTCAGAAAAGGGGACCTCCTGACGTCTATCGACCTCACGGAGGCGTACCTTCATATCCCTATCTCTCTGATCCATCGACGGTTTCTACGGTTCGCGTACAAGGGGAGTCACTTCCAGTACAGGGCGCTCCCCTTTGGCCTCTCGTCGGCCCCCAGAGTATTCACCAAAGTCTTGGCGGTCCTGGCAGCACATTTACGATTGATACCAGTCAGGGTCCACTGTTATCTGGACGACATTTTGATTCAGTCCTCATCCGCCCGGACAGCAGTGACGGACCTCGAACTGGTGATAAAGTTGCTCCAGGACCACGGCTTTTTGGTGAATTTTCACAAGAGCCACTTAACTCCTACAACGAGGCTCTTGCACCTGGGGGCCGTCATAGACACCTTGGAATGCCGGGTGTACCTCTCTCAAGACCGCAGGGACAGCATACGGGAAACGGTCCTTCAACTTCGCAGAAGTCGATCAGCAATGCTGGTCAGTCTCTCCCAGTTGTTAGGGAAGATGATTTCGGCCATAGCGATAGTACCCTGGTCAAGGCTCCACTCCAGGGAACTACAACGGTTCATGCTTCCTTTTCAGAGGCGGAACCTCATTGCTTCCCTCAACAGGGTAGTTCTCCCTCACCACGTGCTACGTTCCCTCAGCTGGTGGCTGTCACCAGCCATTCTCAGAGGGTTGAGTTTCAAGGAACCGGACAGGATTGTTCTCACGACTGACGCCAGCCTGTTCGGCTGGGGGGCACATATTCAGTCACACTGGACACAGGGCCGTTGGTCCGCATCAGATCTGCGGCACAATATAAATTGGCTAGAGTTGAGGGCCATCCATCTAGCTCTTCGACATTTTCGCCATCTAGTGACTCGTCGACACGTGCTGGTCCTCACGGACAATGTGGCAGCCAAGGCACATATAAATCGCCAAGGGGGAACCCGGTCTCAGAGCCTGCTGTCCGAAGCTCTTTCCCTGGGTCTCTGGGCGGAACACAATCTGGCAT